CTTTGTCTTTTTTTTTTTTTTGGCACTGGGAATGGAACTCAGGACCTCACACTGCCAGGCAGGCACTGTGCCACTGACCTGTATTAAAGTTTTAACATTCAAAGTTTGGGGAACACGTTCAAACCCTGGTATACTATTTCCTCATATCTGAAGATATTTCTGATTAATTTAATGTTATGTTACTGAAAAGTAGTGACAAATTTTTAACTGTGTTAATAGTTTCAGTACTCTGGATTGAACCAAAGGGCTTTACACTTAAGCTGCATACTCTGCTGTTTCCTAGTTTTTATTTTGAGACAGGTTTTCACTGAGTCGCTCAGGCTGAGCTTGAAGTTGTGATCTTCCTACTTCAGTCTCCCAGAGGGCTTGGATTACAGGCATGCACCATTGCACTGGTAGAAATATTTTTGTTTAATAAAAACTGAACTTTTAGGGGCCTGCCAGTTAGCTCAGTGCCTGCTTAGGCAGATGCATGGGCCGGGGTTCTCTCCCCAGCCTGCCGTGTGGGCCCCATCCCCAGGGCATGCTGAGACAGCGGTCATGATCCCAGCGCTAGGGAGGCTGAAAAACAGGAAGGATCACTATAAGTCTGATCTGTGTAGTGAGACCCAGTAGACCCTGTACTAATTACATTTAAAAAAAAAATTAAACTTGAGTAATAGTGTAATCAATGATCATTAGGAAATAATTTGCTGTAAGGTTCCCCTATGTTACTCCTGATAACGGATCACTTCCTATAATTGGGGAGCCATACAAACATCATGTGCTAACCCCCAGTGCAGTCTGGGCAAAGATGGTTTGTATCTAAGAAGATCACATGATTTTGAGGGCCGGGGAGATAGCTCAGTGGAATTAGCGCTTGCCAGGGCCTGAGTTCAATCCCCAGTTCCACAAAAAAAAAAAAAAAAAAAAAAAAATCACATGAAATGAATAAAAGGGGTGTAATTTGAAGTAATAGATGAAACACCTAGTTTTGTGATGTGTGTTTGCTGTGGATTATATAAAGTAATGGAATCGTTTTGATGTAATTTTGTAGGATGATTTTTCAGGATTGTCACCATATGAAAGGAAGAGACTGAAGAACATATCAGAAAATGCAAAATTTTTTGCTTCACTTCACTTGTCTGAGGTTTGTGTGAAGTTTCTCATTAAAATCAAGATACTGTTCTTTTTAGGTTAATAAAATATTTTACAATGTCAGTTCTGTACTTGTAAGGTAGCATACACATAATATATGTTCTGTATATTTTTTAGTCGGCTGCAAGGCTCCGTGACATGATCAAGAAGAGACAGCCTCCTAAAACCAAAAGGTAAATGTTTGGTTTACAATGGTTGCACTCTGTTATTTTGCTGAATTGTTTTATGATTTTACTTACGTATTTATTTATTTTAAAGGAGGTTTATTTGACTCATGTATCTTATAATTTTTAAAATTGATTTGGTGTGGTAAACCTTAGTATTGGATCATGAACTCTGTAATCTTAATTCTTACAGTCTATTAGAGGGATCACTATCCTTTAATAACTTTCTAATTCTCATTTTCACCAAAGAATATGGAGCAAATGGGCATGGTAGCACATGCCAATAATTTTAGTTATATAGGAAGTTGAGGCAGGATTACAAGTTTGAGGCCAGCTTGGGCAATTTAGTTGGTCACAAAATAAAAAAAGATGTGGGGTTGTAGCTCATTGATAAAGGGTTGGTGTCTCTTTCTTTCCCTTGCCCTCCCTCACTCTCTCTCCTTTCCTTTTGTTGTGTTGAAAATCAAAGCCAGGGCCTCACATATGTTAGACAAGTGCTTTACCACTGAGCTACGTTCTCTGTCTATATTTCTTTTTTTTTTGGTGTTTTGAGATAGGGCCTCACTCTGTAATTCTTTTTTTAAAATTTATATATTTGGGGCCGGGGAGATGGCTCAGTAGGATAAATGCTTGACTGGCAAATGCAGGGATCTGAGTTCAATCCCCAGTTCTGACAAAAACAAAAAACCAAATAAAATTTATATATTTGATACAGGGTCTTACTATGCAGCTTGCACTCATAGTGTTCCTCCTGTTTTCAGTCTCCCCTGAGCTGGGTTTATGGGTCTATGCCACCACACCTAGTCTCAGTGGCCAGTTGAGTGCACCTGGGGTGGGGCCTGCACTGCATGTGGTGTGGATAATTGAACCTGGTCCCTGCGCTTGCCTAAGCAGGTGCTTAGTCTGCTGAACTATCTTGCTGGCCCTCACTCTATAATTCTGCCTGGGCTTGAACTCATTATGCAACCCAGACTGGCCTTGAACTCCCTGTGATACTCCTGCCTCACCCTCCTGAGTGCTGGCATTATAGGCATGCACCACCATGTCTGACTGTATTTCTATCCTTTTTATAGCGGCATAACATTCTGTTAAATAATAATGGTGTAATTTGTTTTATATCTCATCTAATCATGCTGAACATTCAGGATTTAGGGTTGCTTTTTTTAGATTTTTTCATTGTAGTGAATGTGGTCATATATATGTATCAAAGTAATCAATGTATATGCCTTAATGTGTGACTATATGTGTGGCCCTATTTCTAGAAGTTGTCTCCTTAATATTGCTAAATTCATTTCATTATTTTATCAGTATAGCATAACATGATTTTTTGTCTATTCCTTTAGAAAAAAGCCTAATAAGAAAGAAAATGAGATTGGATGTAGACGGTCAATGCGGTTGCTAAAAGTCAATCCGTCAGGAGTCTCATTACCATCAAATCCAACACAGCCAGTATTAATAGAAGATGAAAATGTAAGAAAAAGTGCAAAGTACCAAAAAAATGTTTGCAGCTTGTAGTTTAGAGAACCTTGGTACACAATGACAGCATACTTACATAGGTGTATATTCATACATGTATGTATGTATGAATATGTATGGCATTTTAATTAACGTACATACTTTTAAGTTGACATAGTTATTTTCCATGTTTAGGGGGTGCAGTATGACATTTCTTTTTCTTTTCTTTTTTTTTTTTTTTTTTGCGGAACCAAGGATTGAACCCAGGACCTTACACTTGCCAGGGAAGCACTTATTCTACTGAGCCATCTCCCTGCCCCCAAGTGTGACATTTCAATACACGTATACAATATGTCACAATCAGATTTAGGGTAATTGATTCATCTATCACCTCAGGCATATTTCTTTGTGTTGGAAACATTAAAATCTTCTGTCAGCTGTTTTGAAATATGTAATTAGTTGTCATTGTTGTCTTACTGTGCTATAGAGCATAAGAAGTTACTCTGCAAATCCAGCTGTATGCCCTGTACCCATTACCGATGCTATGTCCTTCCCTTCTCTTTCCACACTGTTTTCAGGCTCCTTCTTTGAAGTCAGCTCTAGATTCCACATAGAAATGGGAAGATGCAATATTTGTCCTTTTTTTTTTTTTTTTTTGGTACGGGGGATTGAACTTGGGACCTTGTGCTTGCTGGGCAGGTATTTATGCCACTGAATTATCTTCCTGGCCCAATGTTTGTCTTTCTGTATCAGATTTATTTCAGTTAACACAGT